TGGGGGGGGGGGGTCCAGCCTAAGCCACGCCCAAGCCATTCATAAAAAATTTTTAACTTTTTGACAATATTGATTTACAATAATCCTAAGCATTTTTTAATCTTAAAAATAAGCGTCCCAAAACTTCAAGTGAACTACATTTTAGGATCAGCTTGTCTTTATCTTGAAGGTTGGTTTTTAACCACCTGTGCACCCAGGGGTCCATTATCAGAACACAGCATAGGGCTCTGTCCCTTAAGCGTGTCCACATCACTGACGGACAGACTCATCTCCAGCCAAACAGGCTCTTTCCCCTGCACTGGCCTTGCCTGCCCGGGCCTGCGATCCTCCCTAGGACTGTCTTTTCCTCTGGGAGGGTCAGACTCACCAACGATCAGTGATATTTCAAAATGATGGTGTCAAAAGGAAAAACAGAAGTGGCTTTTAATTCTTAAGGAACATAGGGGTGGGGTGGGGTCAGCTCTGCGCCCCAAAGCCCCAAAGCCTGTGCGCCAGGCTGGCTGGAGGGCTGCTTCTGGTCAGAACTACAGCCTCTCCGTGTAGAACCCAGTGAAAATGACTTAAACCTTCATTATCCAATAAGGGGGCTTTGAAGGCAAGAGAAACCTATCTAAACCAGAATTGGTGAGGGGGTGGGGAATGCTCTTCATTAGGCACCTACTGTATGCCTGGCCCTGTGGTTGCTGTCCTACATGTGGGGTGAAGCTTAGAGGGGGAAGGTCCCAAGGGAGGGCAGCTCTGCCCTCCCAACCCAACCCGGGAAGCAGAGTGTCTGCCTGTGTCACTCTTCCCGCCACCTCAGAAGGCAGCTTCTCACCTATCCAGTCCCCGAGGGAGAGAGGGAGGAGGAATCCCACAGTCAGAGTGGTGAGGGGAGTTGCCCACAAATAAATCATTAAGTGAGGATGAGAACATGGGCTTTGCACCCACCTAAATTCACCTCCAACAATGCACTCCCCGATCATGGTTCCTGGCTGCCAGAGCTTCCTTAATTTTGTGGGAAAAATCTGCATCTCAGATGAAAAGGCCGAGACCGTGCTCGGTAATAAAGTTAACAACCTAAGACAACCTAAGACGGTCGCTGCCACTCAGCCCCGCATCAGTCAGTCTCCTTGGTTTACAAATGCAGGAACTGGGGCCCCGCGAGGAAAGGCCGGGAAACAGAGGTCACCGAGGGGAGGGCCCATTTATCTCCCGGCACCTGGTTCCTAAACACAAGGAACATTTCTGCCATCTGTGCTGCCCACAGTCTGAGCTGAGAGCAGCATAGCGGACGTCTTTCCTTGCAATTAGCTCCAAGCTCACGATAAGTTTCGCACACCGGCAGGGAAGCGGCTTTTGCTGCAGAGGACCTCCCTTTGGCCAGAGCCTCCTAGCGGAGCCTAACAGGTGCCTGGGCCCCAAGGCCGCGTCCCCGGATGGCAGGTGCGGGAACCCTGGTGCGAAGGGGGACGTGCACATCACTGCCCTTGGGTCCTGGCGGCTACTAAGCTTCCTTGTTCCTGGGAGAGCCCAGGGCTCCTCTCTCCTGGGACCTCCCCTCTCCAGGCACGAGCCCTGCCCTCCATGGGAAACACCACATTTCCTGGGTCTATGACGTTTCCATTCGACATTCCCCAAGGCCCCTCAACTTAATCAGTGACCCTGACTGTGCCCATGAACTCTGGAAAGGTTTGGGGAAAGGCCATGTGCTCAGTGATGGAACCCTGCAATTTCTTGGCGTGCCCGACTCGCGCCCCTCTGCCAGCACTGCCGTTCCGGCTCCCTCCTCCTGACAAGCTCCTACTCATGCTGCACAGGGAACCCTCCGGAGCAGCCTGGCCCCCTCCCCAGCACAGCTGTCACTAGGCTCGTCAGAGGCCAGCACTAAGCAGATGCTGAGTGAACGATGCGTTAGCGGGTGAAACTGTCAAGCCCCGGAGAGGAGCGGCTACCGCCCGCGGCCGCGCGGAAGGACACTCACAAGACAGAGAAGCGGGGTGACCACGGCCCAGCTATACTTCAGCCAGGGCCCGGGCCGGTAGCCGATCATGTCCTCAATACCGTCGTAAAAGTTATCACTGCCTGCAAGAGACAGAGGCACAGACGTCGACCCGGTGTCCGATGCGGCATCCGCCCCGGGAACAGCACAGCAGGCGGCTCAAGGGCCCTGGGGCCGGTGGCGGGGAGGGGGTGTCTCCAGGGCCTCATCCAGGTCCGTGCATCTCCACACCACATAGCCCCAAGTGTTGGCAGACGTTTATCTGAAATGATCTGAAATGCACATGTCTCTGGGCACCCGATATTTTTCTGGCAACTTTACGCAGACCCCCAAAACCCGGTGTGGCCATTCCAAGGTCTCAAGGAAGTCAGAATGGACCATTCCTGGACCCTCGAGTGGTTCATCAAAGACAGACCCCTGCATGGCCAAATTCTGTGTTTGTCAAAGCATCCACTCACGCCTTGCACCTTCAGCATGGGGAGAATCTTCGGTGTGGCTACGGTCAGATTATTTGTGCTGGAAGGGGTGGCCTTGAGAGGAAAAGTCCAGGCAGGGAGCGACTCTGTGTCTGACTCAAAATGAAATTCCCACTAGAATTCTGTTTCTGAAGCTTCTAGATAGAGAAGCCCAAAGGAGAGACTTGAGTAAGATATGCAAACATCTCTACTCACCATATATCCAGGCAATAGCAAAACATTCAAAGAATGCAACCCACAAAAGGCATACACCGCTAGCTGCATAGTAGTCAAAGAGCTGAAACACATACATGCCACCCTGTGAAGAAAAAAACCAGAGAAGGTGGGTTTGTTATTTGGCATCTCATCCCCTCAATATATAAAGAGATCTGGCCTGTCAATAAGAAATAGAAAACCCAAGGGAAAAAAAAGTGCAGAGGGTGTAAAGACCAGACACAGGTCTAAAAAGATGCTTAACTTCATGTTTGACAAATTTAATTAAAAAGACACACGCACACACAGAAAAGAAAGCAAAACATGTCTTTCTTAGCGAAAAATGATGGGTTCTCTGAAGCCTGTTTCCAAAGGAGGGGCTTAACACTCACTGTGGCCAACACAGAAGACTTCAGTGAGACCCCGTTGCTCAGTGTATGAACCTGTGGTATGCCTTTCAGGGGGTGTTTCTTACAGACACTTCGAGAAAAGCATTTATTTTTACTTCTGGTAAGGAAAATCGGTGATGTGAAACCCCGAATTTGGGGGCAACTGCAAGCCTGTGCTGGAGAGTATGGAGAGATGGGTGAGGGGCACAGGAGGGATCAGCCTGGGCCCGGGCTTAGGCTCACACACTCACATGCCTCCCCTGCAGGCCTGAGAAGGGCCACTGCACACAGCGGTGGGGAGCGGGGGCGGACAGAGCTGTGGTTAAAATGGATTTGCAGGCCTCTGGGGATGAGGAGGGACAGAGGGCAGAGGGTGGCCACTCTGCTGCCAGGGTAACAGGGAAGTGGGGCGGGGAGTCTGGCTCAAGTGCTGGGTCCTGAGCTGCCTCCTGCTGCCCCTGGATGGGGCAGGACTCCCGAACTAGGGTGGCCGGGAGCTCAGCGGTCCTGGACCTCTCATCCAGCTGCCTCCACAGCGCGGAGCGGGGCGGTGGCGTGGCCTTGAACTGACCTTTGAAACATATTTCGAGCAACAAGGGCCCCGCCAGGGGAGGCCCCTCATGCCAGGTGAGAGAGCCACCTACCTCCGTCACCATGGTCAGCCCCAGCAGGTAGCTGACACAACATATGGAGGCGATGAAGATTTCCCGGCGGAAACCCTTCCTTAGGAAGGATGGGTGAAGGTCAACCAAGGACGTGATCTGTCCTTCCACTTCCACAAACTGGGGAGGAAAGGAGAGGGGTGAGTGGCAGACGTCCAGCAGCCCCTCAGCTCAGAGACGAGAGCCGGCGAGGTCGGCTGTGGGGCAGAGTCCACAATGTTGGGCTCCGTGTAGTGAGTAGACCTGCCTGCTGAGCCAGCCCTGGCGGGCCACGTGCAGCTGTCCAAATACTCCACACCTCTGCGGCCCTGAGAGCTTCTCTGAGGCCCGTGCTGACCCTCCACCAGGCACGCCCGCTGGCACGCGTGCGTCGACGCGGCAACCTCCCACTTTGGTCTGGGTCATCTTTGAAGCCAAGGGCGGTGCCCCATCATTTCTGGGCCTTGAGCGCCCGGCCGGGCCTGGCGCAAAGGGCCGCGCGGCAGCACGTGACCAATGGGTGGTAACCCAGGCAAGTCTGGGCCTTAGCTCCCCATCCAATTCACATGGTGGTTTTTAACCCTGTGGGGATCGTGGGCCCGTGGGGGGGATTTTGCACACGTGTGTGCACGCCCAAATGCCCATGTGTGTGAGCCAAATGCTGCCCGTGACCCCAGGAACCCATCCCTGGCCTCCCAAAGGTAAAACAGCTGATCGAAAAGGCCAGTCCATGGGTAACTTTCTAGGGTGACCCTCAATCTTTCTAAATCTTCTCATCTTTGCACCTAATGATTTATCCCGGAGGTCATCCCACATCAGTCCATGCAGCTGCCTCGGTTCTTAAATGGTGGCATAAAACTCCGTCCTGTGGACGCTTACCATCATGGATCTAACCAGTGCCCTGCAGACGGTGTCCAGCCTCCACGGCTGCTGACCTGGGCAGGACTCTTCCCCCAAGTCTGTCTGTCTTTAGACACGTGTGCACAAGTATCCGCAGCACAGTCTAGAAGTACACTTCAGAGTTAAAGGGCATGCAGATGCACTTATGATTGGGGTGGCTACAGCCAAACTGCTCTGCCAACCAACACACCCTCTGAGGCCAGCTGATTCCTTTGAACGTTAAAAAGCTAAAACCTCGACCTGTCTGCTCTTTCATCTGGGAGAGGCTTTTGGGAAGGAGGTTTCCCCAGCCTTCCTACAAGACACGGCCAACCGCTGACTCCTTTGGGAAGCACCACGGGAGGATCGAGGAACATACACAAGGAGCAAGTCCCTTTCATGTGCCCAAAGGGGCTGGAAATTCAGGGAAAAGATGATCAGGAGGCTCCTGAAAGGGGTCCAAAGAGAACAGGGGGCTGATGATTTGACCTCTGATTGATGTGTCAGCCAAAGGGGTTCTGAGTCTAAATTGTCACTGGATTAGAGCAGACTCGCAGCTCAAACATTAAGCTTGAAAAGCAGTTAAAAACAAAGGTTCTGGGACTTCCCTGGTGGTGCAGTGGTTAAGAATCCGCCTGCCAATGCAGGGGACATGGGTTCGATCCCTGGGCCGGGAAGATCCCACATGCCGCGGAGCAACTAAGCCCGTGCACCACAACTACTAAGCTCTAGAGCCCTCGAGCCAGAACTACTGAGCCCGCACGCCACAACTACTGAAGCCCTCGCGCCTGGAGCCCGCGCTCCGCAACAAGAGAAGCCACCACAATAAGCCCGCGCACCACAACGAAGAGTAGCCCCTGCTCACCGCAACTAGAGAAAGCCCGCGCGCAGCAACGGAGACCCAACGCAGCCAAAGATAAAAAATAAGTGAATTAATTAAAAACAGAACAAAACAAAGAAAACAAAGGTTCTTTCCTTTTTTGAGATTGGAAAATTAAAGACAGGAAGATCCAGTGTCACTGAGTCAGGGCCAACACCAGCACAAGCTCCTTGTTTCCAAGTTCACTGCACCTCTGGGAGACACCAACCCCAGCCCTCACCCGCTCCACCAGCCTCTCGAGACCTCCCTCACTTAATAGTGGTGTGACCCTGACTTCTCTGAGCCTCAGCTTCCTTCTCTGTAAAATGGGAGCATCTTGCGTACTCAACAGGGGTGATGAGAAAGATGGGAATTCATTAGAGTAGACTGGCAATGGGGTGATTCCTGCTAACGCGTGTCAGGGGCTGAATGGGTAAGCTCCTGGGCGAGAGGGAGCTTCTCCTTGTGCTGTTGGTTCACAGACTGTGTCCCCCTCGGGCGGGCCAGCTAGCGACAGGCATCTGCCTCCACGTGGGTGACAGTCCGACTCCCTCTCCCTGGGAAACACATAGCGGTACGATGGCCCCTCAGCCAAACACACCCCTCAGCCATAGCGGTACGATGGCCCCTCAGCCAAACACAGTGCTCCCCCCAAATGCTAGGAACCCCCCCCTCCTCTAATGAGCGAGGCTCACGCTCCCCCTGCCTGAGACTGGCTGTGGATCCCTGCATGTCCAAAGAACGGAGTTCTTTGGCGGGAACTCAAAGGAAAGGCCCAACTAGCAGGGATGAACTGGCAGGTCTGGGGACAGGCAGCCGTGACTCCAGTCCTGAACTCACTGGGTGCGGCCTCAGCCCAGGGCTGGTTCTCTCTGAGCCTCAGTGTTCTCGGCTCTGGGAAACAGTTGTACCCAGGCATCGGGACACTGTGTGGATTAAGGAGCTGATGCATAAAAGCTAGGTTAGCGGGGAGGGTTCGTGTTTAGTGGGGACAGAGTTTCAGTTTGGGAACATGAGAAGGTTCTGGAGATGGATGGTGGTGATGGCTGCACAACAACGTGAGCATACTTAACGCCCTGAGCTGGGCACTTAAAAATGGTTACGATGGTTGATTCTGTGTTATGTGTATTTTGCCACACATGACATGTGAAGCCTGGTCCGAGTGGACCGCTCGCAGGGCAGGGCCCCTATCACTGCTGGTGCTGTACGAGGTGGTCGCTGGCATCTGCAAAACCTTCCCCCACGTCCCTGACTTCACAGGGCACACAGATGCAGGGGAGGGATGCCAGGGTTCGAATCCCACCGTGCCCTTTCCTGGCACATCAATTAGGCAGGTCGTTCAGTGCCATGAGTTCCATGCTCTGAAGCAGAAGAGTACCGGCTCCCTGCGAGGCTGGCTTTGAGAGCTTTGAGATTCCCTAAGCAAACAGCCGCAGTGGGCCTGGCTCAGAGGTGCACACCCTCAACCGGGGGAAATCTAATGAATAAACCCCCCCCCGCCCGTTCACAAAGCAGTTCCGTATCCCAAGAGGCCAATTTGGGGCCCATGGGGATGTCATGCTTTGTCATTTGTTAACCTCTTTCTGTTTTTGCCTTTGCCTTTCACTAGAGCTCTGGAAGAAGTTATAAAAGCCATTTGCTTGGGGCCTCTGAAGGCCAAACTCATTAACTAGGAATGACGGATGGAGTCCTCTTGCTGTTTACACAGCTCAAGCCCATCAACAACCGCACAAATATTTTCTTTACAGTCTCCCAAATGCCTTCCTTCCGTCTTCTCTGATAATCCTGGTCCTCTTTCCGCCAAATCCTCCACTCTTCTCTTGACCTTGCTAGCGGACCACCTCCTCTCCGCTGCCTGACCTTCTAAGACTTTCCTCCTACCCGGTCCTGAATCCCTGAGGACCATCCGGGCACGGGCTTTGAGACTGCTGCCCAGGGGGCAGTGGCAAAGCTCTCTCCTGAACAGGAGCAGGCCCCCACCTCTCACAGGGTGAGACCACACCGCTGTGAGGCAGCCGGAGCCCAGCCTGCAGACGAGGCTGCCTTTCAGCGCCTGACCTCAGATGAAGGCCCGTGTGGCCACGCGCACAGGGCCAGCCCACCCTGTACACCTTAACTGCCCACCCCTGGAGCCACACCTGTGCTCTCGAGAAGGCCTCAGAGAAAACACACCTATCTCCGGGGAAGGTGTCCCAGAGGCTCACTCTACGGTCCTCCAAGCACCACTGACTGCTCCCTACCAGGCACTGTGCCTGGCATTTCCCACAAGGCAATGTAGGTATAATCATACCCATTTACCAGATGAGGAAACTGAGGCTCAGAGTGGGGGAGGAAATGTGTTCCATGACACAGAGCAGCACGGGGGCTGGGAACAGTGTTACTCCAAAGCCAGATGCAGCCCCCAGCTGGCTCTCATTGACATCCCCAGGGGGTCGGGGGGAGGCCTGAGTCCTGGAGGGATGGGACGCGGGGGTTAAGAAGCACAGGAAATGACCATGGTGTACGTGGAGTCCTGCCTGTTGCGGGGAGGGGGCAGAAAGCCGGGAAGGCCGGAGGGCAGGAGGGGTGTTGGCAAGGCTCCGGAGGATCAGTTTCCCCATGGGGGCCAAGCTCGCGGACCCATGTGCTCCAAGAAGCAGAGAACACAGCCGTGGTTCCAGCTTCTGTGGCCACACTTAGGACTGCCAGTGACGGCCGGGCCAGTGACCACCCCATGCCCTAGACAGAGGTGTTGGCCCCTTGCCCGAACGGCCTGTATGCCACGTCCCTCCTTGGCCTGCCTGGGTGCCCCATGCTCCAAGGCACACGTCACTACTTTAAGGCCTTGCCCTTCTAGCCGTACCCATGGCTCCCTGTGGACCACAGCCTGTGGCTGTCCGTTTCCCCGTGCCGAGGTCAAAGACTTGAGCTTTGGGGCAGACAACATCCTGCTGCTGCCCTGGGGCTGTTTCCACTCCTGGGGTCCCAGAGGAACCCTCGCTGGCCGAAGCTGCCGCAGGTCTGCAGAGGGGTGTGAAGGGGTGTCAGCAGCTCACTCACAGCACAAAGAGGGAGGCTCTTCCAGAACCAGGTTCAGGGGGGTGGAGGGGGGCGGAGGCGGTCCCAGCCAGGGGCCATCCCCTCGCTCTGTACATACCTGGCTATCCAGTCCAAGCAAGAGAAGCATAATAAAAAAAAGGATGGACCAAAACGTGGGCAGCGGCATCATCGTCACAGCTTTCGGGTAGGCAATGAAGGCCAGGCCAGGACCTAACGGAAGAGAACATGGGGAGGGGCAGAGGGGAGACATCAGCGCCCAAGCCGCCCCGAGCCCTGGAGCCACACAAGACACTCGGGTCTGAGGCGGGTCTCCCAAGCCCCAGATGCAGGGTCCCGCCTGGGGGAAGAGGCCAGGCCTGTCTCACTGTGGGGTGGGACGCGCCGGGGCTCAGGCGGGGCCCCGTTTTAGCATCTGTCTCCTATGCAGCAGCACAGGTGGCCTCCTCACACGCCAGGTTCCGAGCGGACACCGGTTATGGGGTAGGAGATAGGACCAAGCCTGGGACTCAGTCTGCCGGCTTAGGAAAGGAGGACCTCCCCCAAGCCAGAGAACCACACCAACGTCTGCTGGAAGGAAGCAAAAACAGGGAGCGTCCTGACTACTAGAGTTATCTGACTACTAACGCCCTGTTTGCAAAGAAAAGCTTTCTACTGAAACGCTAAATGAGTGGCCAGAAAAAAGAACACAGAACCACACCCCACGGGGCCGATGTCTCTTGCGGGTGCATCTGTGCACCCACTGGAACACCGTCACGGCCAAGGCCCAAAGCCGGAGGGAGGCAAGTGCGGGGCAAGACCCCAGGCGGAGAGCCCCCCAGGCTGCAGCCCAGTCCTCGGCCCACCACCTCCGCGTCACGTCACCATACGCCCTCTCGGGGCCTCAGGCTCCCTCCAGAAGTGAGGGGCAGGTTCCTGCACGTGAACCCCAACGAGGCTTCTCCTGCTCAGATTCTTGGGTGCTGGTGCCATTTCCCTGGTAAAGGGCTCTGGTCTCTAGGGAGGGCCGTGACTATTTGGAGGCAGGAGCCCCACCAGTTCTGGGGCGGCCTCCAACTGGAAACGTCCCCTCTCGCCTCCAGTCGGCCTGAGAGAAGACGCCGGGGGAAAGACGGAGTTGTAACCGAGACCTGTGGGTCCACCAGACGGTCGGGAGCCGCCAAAGAAAGGAGACAGGGAGGGCCTGGGTTGAAAAAAATAGAGCAAAATCCACAACTCAAAAACAATTAAAAAAAGGCAAGAAATGTGAAACAAGAAGGGCTGGAGGGCAGGATATTTGCAACAGGTATCAGGAACCAAATGAATGGTCTGAGAATGAAAAAAAAAACTTTGATATAAATTGGAGCCAGAAACCACATCGTACGGCGTTGACCACACGCGTGGTGGCGAGGGCGAGACCCTGTACAGCCAGAGTCCCCCGACGTGAGGAAAGCCCAACAGTGACTGTGACCATGTCCTCGGAGGCGATGGTGGAAAACCCCCGGAAGAGGTGGAAGGGTGCTCGTCCCAACCCCAACGCCCAAGCTGGAGTAGTACCCGCGTTTCCACCTGGCTGGGGCCCCCTGGGCCCCCCAGGTCAGCTCCGGCCCGACTGGTAGGCGGCACCGGGAGGAATCAATCCAGCCGCTGCGAGACAGATGTAAAATGGGGCCCTCACCCCACCTCTCCCCAGCCCGCCCGCTGGGCCCTGAAGCTTCTCAACGGCTGTTTCTGTATTTCAGTTTTGCCTTTTTCAAGCCAGCCTCCGGGGGAGGGTCTGAGCATCCTTCTCTGTAAGCACAGGAACTAGAGAGAGAAGTCGGGGGAGACATGGCAGCCGCTGGAGCCCCGGGGGCAGCAGAGATGCCCCGCTCTACGCTTCATTTGCAATTTGCACTCCGTTCGGCTAAATAATTATCTTGTTCCAATGCACTTCGCTCAGTACGGTGCTTGTTAAAAGCTTATTAGCGAAACAATCACCCTTGATGTGTCGGCTGTTCAGACATCACCGTGGGGAATAAATGACAAGGTCTTTGAAGTGGACGGGGAATAAGAAACAACTTATCTTGACGATGAATACGTATATAAAAGTATCTAGCTGTCCACAGAGAAAGATCTATTTCATATATTGACAGATCTACTGAAAGATCTATTTCACATATTTCATAATCTCCCATTGCCAAATTCCCTCCATGCTCCTGGTGATTCCCCATCAATCAGAATTGGTTTGCAAGCCCTCAACCGGAAGAAAAGCCATTTGCAAAGGAGATGTCAACTGTCTCCCCTTCGTCACTCTGCCAAAGTCCCACACGCGTGTGGCTATTTTACTTCTGGAACTACTCTGTGTCCTCAGTCTCTGGCCTGCCTCTGGGGGCTCTCAGGGAAGGAAAACTATGGCTGGAGGTCCGATCTGGGAGCGGGGGCAGTGGAGACAGCTGTGGGGCTGAGGCGTGGGCTTGTCAGGCCTGTCTTGCAGCACTGGGCGTGGGAGGAGGGGCAGGGCAGTGAGCATCTTCACCAAGTAAGGGGGGAAGCAGGGCCTGCGGCTCTGAGAGGCCGGAGGAGCCCAGAGGTCGCATGTGTGCACGGTGGGACGGGAAGGCTGCAGGGGGATATCCTCGTGTCAGAGGGGTCTGTCCAGGAGACCCCAGCTCTGACCCTGCCCAGCCCAAGCAAGCAAGCAAGGCCCTAGGTCTCAAGCCGTTGGCCTCATCTGCGGTGGTGACATCTGAATGCATGATGCTGGGGCACCCAACCCCCGCAACACTAGGGTCCCTGGCTGGGGAACCAGGACACCAGCCCTTATTTCCAACAAGGGCAAGGGCAGCGCCATACTGGGACTCCAGCTGTGCCTGACCCTGGTCTGTGATCCCTGGAATTAGGACCTCATGCTCTCCTCTGGGCCTGGGAGGGGCCTCAGCCCAAGGCCCTCACCTGCTTCCGAGTGGCCCCTGAGAGGTTGTGGGAAGTCAGGTGGTCAGCCTGTGAAACAGCAACAACTACCCTCCAAGTGACCTGGGCAGGACGGGAGGAGGCCGCAGAGGCCAGAAAGGCGGACCTTGGGGACCCTGGGAATAAGGTTCTCACTCCCACATCGAAGCCCCCGCAGCCACAGAGCTGGGGTCCAGGACTGGGAGCGCCCACAGGCACGTCTTAGAACTGGGACACCTGTGCTTCTAGGATTCTAGCAGCTGAAGCCCTCACAATTCTCGGGTTCCAGAACCATCTCACTGGAACCCCAGGATCCCAGCCTAAGACCCCAGGCTTTGCAGACTCTGATTCTAAGACTCTCTCTCCACTGGCAGGTGTCTTGCAGGAAGTGCCCCGCCAAGGGGGCCCACACCCCAGCGGGGGGGTGATGGTGTCCCCAACAACCTTCCTCCAAACTGGACCTGTCACCATCCCAGAGGGTGGCCTGTCACACCCCCTGTCCCTCCCCCACCCGGGCCTACGGTGGTGCCTGACACAGGGCAGAGACTCAGCAAATCAAGAAACAGCGGTGGAATGAATGAATGGGTTCGCTTAGAGGGGGCGTGCTGGGAGCAAAGTGCAAAATACAGAAACCAAAGCTGAGAAGGTGGTGACGGAATGCCGATTGGTGGCTGCCTTGGGCCTGAGTTAGGAAGCGGTTTCTGTTGCTGAAACCAGGAGTTTGCTGGGGAAGGACAGGGAGGGGGAAAGACCACATGAGAATAGCTGAATATTCCCCAACTTAACCAACCCCCGTGTTTCTGCCGCCCCTTGGGCAAAATTGCAGTTGGAAGTGTTTAAAATTTAGCTTTTATACTCTTTGATACTTGGGGGACGTCTTGGTGGGGGGGGGTCCATTTCAGAAACCAGGCTCATCCCCCCCCCACAAAGCCCCCTGGGGGGGGGTCTGGCTTCATGCCTGCAGTACTCGGCTTACACACTAGGTGGCAGTGCCCACCACCACTGCCACCGATACCACCATACCTGACTCAGCCACATCAGCAATGTCCACCCCTTGCTCTTGTGCCATGAAGCCCAGGATGGAAAAAATTGCGAAGCCAGACACAAAACTGGTACCACTGTTCAGGCATCCCAGCAGCATACAGTCCCTATGTTACACATATGTCAGGGAGCAAGTTAATTCACAACACAAGGAAGCCACGCTCCCTACTTCTTCTCTTTTTTCTTTAAACATCATCATCATTTCTAAGGCCCACCAGGCCCGCTGGTGTGACACTTGCCTGTACGAGTTGTACTTGTACTTGTTGTAGCTCCCCAGCGAGGTCATGGCCCCCAGGCAGATGGCGTAGGAGAAGAATATTTGGGTCCCAGCATCGATCCATACCTGGGAAGGGTGCGGGGGGAGGGTGGCAAGGAGAGAGAAAAGGAGACTTTAGAGCCGGCTGTCTGGAGGAGGTGGCGCGGGTCCCTGGCCACCGGGCCCCGAGGGCAGCGCCTCGAAGTATGCAGGTTCTCGATGCAATTGGAGCGTTTGCGCTGGAATCCAAGCTGCAAGGAATCCCAGAAGCCTAAGAAGCCCCCCAGTCACTCAGCATCAGGGTTAAGAGGCTGGCTTTTGAAGCAGAGGGACCTGGATTCCAACTGTGGAATGATGTAAATATGACTCCTGGAGCCTCAGTTTTCACATCTGTAAAATGGGCTCCACTGCCCTGCCCCACAGCGCTATTTTGCAGGTTCAAAGACTTAAGATCTAGCCCAGTGTCAGACACATGGTAAGCCTGTGAGTCGAGGCTGCTACCGTTATTGTACTTGTTATTGTCTGGGGCCCCCCGAGTTGGAAGGGGGAGGAATTCCTGAATGGATTATGCAGGCAAAGCTGTTCTCCAGAACCTTCATCAAGTGGCTCCTGACGGCCAGGAGAGCCGCCTCCCCAGCTGTCCTCTGACGATGGCCAAGCCCTTCCCACCTACCTCCTGCCCACGGCGAGAGGACAGCGGGGGAGAGACCCGAAGCATCACAGGCCCTTGGAGCCAACCTAAAGGCTGAGGACCCTGGGGACAGAAGGTCCCCAGATCCCCAGATGGGCCAATAAACTCTTCAACTGCCTGCGGTCATGCGGCTGAGTGCCTGGAGGTGGACGTTTAGTATTTGCCCCCCCCCCCGACCGCCCCGACCTCCTAAGTGGTCACCAACACTGAATTCCATCCTCAGACAAGGAAGCCCAACTGTCCCACCCCCATGATGCAGCCCTCAAGGCCACTGTGGCCGAGGAAGAGAACAGCTCATAGCGACTTCTCTCCCTTACCTGGCGCAATACCTAAAGAAGCTTTATAACTGGCCCGCCTCCGGAGTCCTCGATGTGGAAAGACACACGCAGCCGGAACGGCCCACGAGCACCGTGAACAACCCGCCACAGCCCAGTGGAAAAGTACCAGGGCTGACGGCCCGGCTAGATCTGTGTGCCCAGAACCACGGACACTGCTTCAGCTTCCTTTCCCCACACCGGCCCTGGGTAGGAGGGGGGCCAGGCTGCCCTGCAGTACCTGTGGGTCCTCCAGGCGGCTGATGTCGGGGTACAGATAGAACTTGATGCCTGCGCCTGCACCGGGCAGCGTCAGTCCCCGGACCAGCAGCACGAGGAGCATAGCGAACGGGAAAGTGGCAGTGAAGTAAACGACCTGCAAGGGACGAGAGCGATTAGGGGGCCTGCTGCTGTTAAATTCGAGCATCCTCTCTGAGGCAGGCATTCTGGAGCTGAGCCTGATATTTCCCTTGCTGGGTGACTCTGGGCATGCTGCTTACCTTTTCTGGGCCTCACGTGCCTCACCTGCAACCTGGGTATAACACAAGTACCTACCTCATAGATGTACTGAGATTCAATGAAAAAAAATCCATAAATATTTACTAGGCCCGGGAAATACAGGGAACCAGTCCCTGCCCTCATGGAACCGACATTCTAGCAGGTAAAGAAGGAAAATGCACAATACGACAGACAGTAAACTATTAAGTGTGTGTGTGCCCCGTGGTTGGCCCACAGGACGTAGCACAGATCAGCTAACATTACAACCATTAGTATGACTCATGGTTCAGAACCAGGTAAGTGTAGATTCAAATCCCCGCTCTGTCCCCTCACATGCTGTGTGAACATGGGCATGATGCTTAACCTCTCTGGGCCTGTGGCCTCACGTGTAAAACGGAGATAAGAGTAATGGAAGGCCCTCATTAAGGGATTAGGCAAGGATTCAATGGAATGATGCTCACAACGTGGTCAAAACAGTGCATGGCACTTAGGTGGCCGCTTAGGTGCTTGAGCAAGAAATGGGGCCTGTCGTTGGCCATGTGATTGTGCAGGAAGCAAACAGGAACTTCTGGAGAGGGGAAACACGGATGGGGAAGGCCTCCACTTCCTTGGGGGTGCAGGAGGCCACAGCCTTCCCTGGGTCACGCAGCACGTCCCAGGCAGGCCTAGGTCAATCAAGGTGGGGACCAGAGATGACCCGGGCCAGGCCTTTCCATCTCCAAGGGCCCCGCCCTACTTTCTCTACTCCTCTTGTCCCGAAAGCACCAGCCTTCATACCTCCCGTAGCCTCAGTTCGTGGATGGATTTTCCCAACTTACACAAGAAGTTCCCAGGCAGTGTTTACACCTGAGAGGACCTCGAAGATGCCTGGCTGTATGGTCAGTGAAATCCTGCTATTTCAGCAGGGCACCAGCTGAGCCAGGGCTCCCCAGCACCAGCCCACTTCATGCTCACCACACCCCCAAATCGGTACATTGGCTAACCTGCTGCTGGAGAAGGAACTGAGACCGGGCAGGCCTCCCAGACTTCTCCAAGCCACCACTGTGCTCAAGGCCTGCACCCAGAAGGCAGAGGGTCAGCCCCGAGCCAAGGCATGAGGCATCTTACTGCACGGTGCAGGACATGCGAAAGTCCGTGGTGACCAGTGGAAATGCTAAGACTAGCTCACAGAGCCCCTGACCCCCTCTGAGGGCCTTGAGGCCAGGGGCCCAGGGAGGGACCACTGCATGGTCAATGCACCCATTTTACAGGTGAGGAAACTGAGACCGAGAACAGGATGAAAGGCCCGTGGCGTTGGGGGAGGGGGCAGTGCCAGAACACTGCCAGGCACTTCTGGACTCAGGCAGGTAACAGACACCGATGGGGCGGTGGGGGGTGGGGGGTGGGTGATAGAGCCCTGAACCTCGCCCAGCTGCCATAATGGAGCCCAGTTCTCAGACAGCCTCCATCCCTTTGAGTAGAAACAACTAGCAGGGGGCTTCGGAAAAAGGAAAGAAGGAAGCTTTCCAGGCCTGTCAGGCTCAGCTGCCTTCAGTCAGTATCACCAGCCAGCATTTATTGAGCGTTTACTGTGTACCTAGTGCTAATCCAAGTGCAGTGACTTCTACACTCACCCGGTCCTGCCCTAACCCCATCTTGAAAGCAAGGAAACTGAGGCCCAGAGAGTCTGTCCCTTGCCCACAGGTCACACAGCGTTTAAGCAGCAGAGCGGGGGCGGCCTAGAACCTCCTCCAGTGACAACAGCACGGCAGTAAAAAGCCCTTCAACGCCTGGCAGTTCATTCAATCCTCCCAAAGACCAGAGGGAAGCTGGACTCCCCAAGGGCTCTACGGCTCAGGTCAGAATTCAGGCTCAGTGACAAGCTTGCTGTGAGACCTTGGGCAAGTTACTGCCCCTCTCTGGGCTCCATTTCCCCACCTGCCAAGTTGGGGGGCTCAAACCAGCTGGGCTCTAAGGTTTCCTCCAGCTCTGCCAGCGGGAGGGGTGGAGTGGCTGAGAGGGTCAGCTGGGGTTGCACAGACTGGGGTCCGCATGCACCTCTGCACCCTCCCGGCGGGCGGCTTCCCCACTCACCCTAGCAGCAGGTCCTCCTGAGGATCCCAGGCTAAAAGGGGCACCCTCCTTCCGCCTCTGCCACACCCTCCCTGGACGCCCCTCTCCCCCGGGCCTCAGTTTCCCCAGCCACCTTACTGTCTTCTCCCGAGGCAGAGAGCCCTCCATTTCCCAGGGACCAGAAGGCAGACGCGGAGGGTGGAGGCAGGTCAGGAAGCCACGGAAGGGGTGAGAGAAGAAAGAAGAGCAGCCCGCAGGCCGTTCCTCCCTTCCTGCCGACAGGCCCGCCGGCCCCTAGCTCAGGGCCTGGAGAACAATGGCTGCTGACAGTGGCCGGGGCAGAGGGGGCAGAGGGCGGAGGGCAGCTGCTTCAAAGCCTGAGGGCCCCCTGGGCTGGGCGGGTGTGCGGGCTGTGGCCAGAAGGCTTTGTGTCAGGGACACAGGACACCTCCCGGGGTGGGGGTGGCTTCCCTTGTTTCCACATATTTAATTCGTTTCACAAGCACTTATATAGCACTTGCTGTGTGCCGGGCGCTATGCCAGAGCTTTATTCGTGTTAACTCACAACTGAAAGAAGTAGGACTATTATCACCTGTATTTTCTAGATGAGGACACGGAAGCCGTGAGGTCACGTCAGCTGCTCGGGGGGGGCCCAGGGCCAGTAGGTGGCAGAGGTGGGATGTGGTCCAGGCCAGCTGGCGTGTGTGTGTGTGTGTGTGTGTGTGTGTGTGTGGTGTGTGTGGTGTGTGTGTGTGCACGTGTGCGTGTGTGTGTTCACTGTCTCCCTCAAACGCGGAACACGACAGCCCACCTGGTTATGCCACCCAGCCGCCTCTTTGGAAAGACACCCTTATTTTGCAGAATTTGTCGCTGAGGACAAGCCCCTGGGAGCCATTCTCTCAACTTCTCCGTGACTCTCCGGGGATGCTCGCGGGAGATGCTGGTGCCAGCCGCCACCAATGGGCCTCTGGCGGGGGCCCAGCAGGCCTTGCCACGGGATGTGGTATTTTTCCACTCTTGCTGGCAAACCTCCGTGGCTCCTCTGAGCCCTCGACCCAAAAGCCCTGTGGCCCAGCTGCCCTGGAAACTTACAACGCTTCCTCATTCCTTAGGGACGGTCAGGAGAGGGGGGCTGGCCAGGCGGGGGTGGGGGGGGAATGGGCTCGTTTCCTGCTGCCCTGAGCTTCCTTTGAGAAGGCCTGGGCAGCGCGGGTCACTCATGCCAGAGACCTGAGGCCGCGGGTCTGGGAGCAGCGCCTGGGCAGGTCCTCAGGGTCCTCACAGCACTCCTGTTGGGGGGTGGGTACCGCTACTCATTTCACACGCGGGGAAACCGAGACTCAGAGGGGGAAAAGGACTGGCACCCAGTCATGTAGGCTATAGGGGCAGAGCTGAAACCCCAAACCAGGTCTGGCTCTGCCGGCCGCCCCTGCCTGTTTCTAAGCACTGGACAGAAGAGCTGCCTTGGAGGCTGGTGATGGAGAGGCCAGCGCCTGTGCTCATGTCCGGGACCAAACTGCCATTTGGGTCCACAGAGCTGCACTTCCTGTGTGAGGATCTGGGCCTCTGTGTCACCTCCCTGGACCTTACGTGCTGGGACTCGCATCGGACACGACCGTCAGGCCAGCACAGGACTGAGGCCGGAGAGCAGGCGACAGGCACTGAGGCTAGGAGCTGGGCTGCCCGAGTTCAAATCCCACCTGTGTGGCCACGACAACCTGTGTGGCCTTGGGCAAGTTCATTAACCTCTCTGCACCTCTGTTTCCGCATCTGTAAAATGGTAGTAAGAGCCACACATACCTCAGGCATCAGAAGATTAAATGAACTAATAAGTAATAATCAGCACTGAGAACGGTGCCTGGCACACACGTGCCACAGAGCATTTGCCGCCATTATCTCAATTTCTTGAATGAATGAAGCGGCAGCAAATTCGGGGCCAAGTGTCAGACCCTCAGAAGGCTGAATATTACAAAAAAGGGAACTGAGACCCGGAGAGGCAAAGTGATTGAACTCAGGTCCTGAGCCTCCCAGGACCCGTCACTCCCTCCTTCCACCCCCGGCCACACCAGGGTCAGCCCCTGGAGCGAGGCCCTGGCCAGGATGAGGCTGTCCTGCTGCCCGTGGGCCCAGCCCCCATGGCAGCTGCGAGCCTGGTCTGTGGCCAGGGCTGCAAGTCCCGGCTGGCGGTGGGCGGGTAGGCAGGCAGAGGGGCTTGAGGAAGTCCACTGAGCCTCACTGTGTTTGTCTTGGCTTCTCCCGGCTGGCCCAGGCCCTGCTATTGTTCTGGGAACCACACCCGCCCCTGGGGGCCTGGAGCCTCCTCTCTGGGGGTGGGCAGGGGGACCTCTAGCAAGTCACGTCCCTCAGCCTGCCCCCGATGCAGCCCTACACCCTCTCCTTTTCGCTTTGACTCTACTCTTCGGCCCCAGCAAGTGTCTCAAGCGCTGCTCGCCGTTCCTAGGGGACATCAGATCCTCCATCAGACTGGGGGCTCCCCGAGGGTCTGGTCATTCACACCTCCGGGCCTCTGCACGGCTCACCCTCACTTCCTTCAGATCCTTGCCTCGAAGTGCCCTTCTCGGAGAGCCTTGTCTGGCCAACCCCCTTGAAAATGCACCCAACACTCCCGTTTTCCTCCATAGCTCTTGTGGCCAACTGACTCCTGTATGGTTTACACCTTCCCCTTGTTGCAAACAACAAGTCTGTCAGTTCCTGGACAGTAGGGATTTCTGTCTGTTCTGTGCACCCTGGGCCCCATGCCCACGGCAGCGCCCGGCAGATGGCAGAGGCTCCAAGCACGCGTGCGTAAGTGTGTCCGCAGCACTGCTCGGGACCAGGGTCCACAGAGCTTCCTGATGGGCTCGCCTCCACGTGGGGAGCAGGGACAGAGGGAAGCAGGGACTGGCGCTCACTGCACAGTCTGTGCCGAGCACTGTGCCGGGTGCTGACACAGCTTGCTTTAACCCTCACACATATCTGGATGAGGAAACTGAAGCTCAGAGGGAGGGGCGACCTTGGACAAGTCATTAAGGAATCCCAGCCCAGTTCCCTCACTGTTTAAAGAGAGGTGGTAAGGAAACAGCTCGCACACACGACTGTGGAGGACGTGGGACAAGACAGGAGGACGTGCGTCCCAAGGAGCGGCGGGAATACGCCACGTCCCCTCTTCCTGCCTCTCGGGGTGGGTGATGTCAGCGGGGGTGTGCCCGTGCAGATTTCTGAAGCCTGGCCCGCTTCCTTTCCACATTGGGTTTTAGGGTCGCGGGTGGCTCTATTCAGAGAAACAGGCGGAGGGCCGTGGGCGCGCAGGCCTCCGTGCTCATTCTGCCTCCACCACCGGGGACCCACCTCTTACCCGGTGTGTCCCTGAGTACTGTTGGGGTCTCTTCAGATCCATGACTTTGCCTAAGGGCCTCTTTGTCTGGGGTGAATGTGTACAGCAAAGGCCCCTTCTCCAAATGACTTCACCCACTGCCCTTCGATGTCCCTCAAATGCCACCTTAACTTACTCTTTTGACCTTAGAGGGCTTTTTGATCTTAAAGAGATCTTCCCCCTATTGAGGTACAAATGACGGGGGTCGGGGCATGATAGACGTAGTGGGGGGGGCACGTAGGGCAGATCAGCCAACACCTTTGCTGTGTTTTAGTTAGTGCCCTGGGTTCACACCCGTGATCCCAACAGAACCCTCTGCACGGATTTCTGTCATCAGAAAAACTATGATGTCATATCAGCCAGTGTCTTGGTTATCAGGTAACTGCTGTGCTCTGCTAACAGGTAACATTTTTGTTACTGGCTAACATTTTCATATTGACAATATACCTCTACACCTAAAACCTGAATTATAAGGTAACATTTTAATTATCAGCTACCACCTTTGCTAATAGCTAACATCTTGGTCATCATGTAATACATTAAACAGCAGCAGATACTTTAGTTACAAGTAACACTTTTGTTATGAGCGGAAGGACTTAATCATCAGTGAAAGCTTTCCTTAATAACTAACATCTTAGCCACCAGCTGAAATGCAAATCGTAAGATAATTCAGTTAATCTGATTTAGCAGCAAAAATCCCAGTTGGTGCTTCTCAGACCTCAGTGTGCATTTGGATTATCTGGGGAAAGTGTTCAAAGGCAGCTCCTGATTCTGTTGGTCTGGGGTCAGCCCACAGGTCTGCATTTCTAACGAGCCCCCAGGGGATGTTGAGGCTACAAGGGTGCATGTGGTCGGAGAGCAGCTGGTAATTAACAATGCAATTACCAGCTAACTTATCAGTGGCATCTCCAAGGTTTGTTATCTGCTAACATTCACACTGCTGCCCACTCCCTGAGGGGAACCAGTGGTGTGTGGGAGCTTGTGCAGGCTCAGGAGAGCTGACAGCTCAATTTCAGGAACTTTTTTAGCTGGTCGTTGAACCATCAATAACTCGTAATTGGACCTGGTGGGAATATTTACATCATGAGGTGGGCAAATGCCACAAACCAGGGCTCTGTATCTGCTGCGAGGACTGGCTGATCAGGACGGGTTTCGGGCAGGAAGGCCTGGGGGCACGGGAGATGGTCTCTGCGGAGGGCCGGTCTCCATGAGGCAGGGGAGGGACAGGAGCACAACTCACTTTGCCCGTGGACTTGACGCCCTTCCAGATGCAGAAGAAACAGACGAGCCAGACGAGGAGAAGGCAGAGAGCAAGGTCCCACTTCAGAGCGCCCAGTTCGTCAATTCCAGAAGACAAGCTCAGCACATTACGCCTTCAAGCAAACAGAGCCACAAGTCAGACGGGGCCGGTCAGGGGCCGAGAGAGCTGACGCCTGGATTCCAACAGGCTGGGGCTCAAATCCTGCCTCCAAGCTGTGGAATCCCATTGGTCTAGGGAAATAGTTAACACCTGTGACACAGAGTCGTGGGAGAGGCCAACAAGGGTATAGCTTTGGACTCCTGAGTCAGGCGGACCTGGGTTCTACCCAGCCAGGCCTCGGGCAAGTTAAGTTAAACCCCTAAGCCTCAGTTTCCTCACCTGTGAACTGAGCGCTGATTCCTGTGTGACTGATTCTTGGCAAGACCCTTCCTCAGTGCCCACTGTGGGCCCAACACTGGGTTCCAACTGGGCTCTACCACGCAACCACTGACTTGGGGCCAGTTACCCAACTGCCCGACCTCAGTCTCCTCATCTCTAAAATGGGAACAACTTCCCTCCCCCAACATTCTCTGTCCTGTCCTTCTTTTATTATACTCACCCGTTTCTTACCTGGATCTCTCACTAAAAGGTAAGCCTCAAGGGGGCAGAGTGTTTGTTCTATCTGTGGCTGTGGGACACTCACACACCTTTTTACAGGGTTAGGAGAAAGCCCACTCGAAGTATTAGCTACTGGCCTGGGATGCAGCCAGCAGTCGGTAAACCTCGGCGGTTGTTACTGTCGTGGCGCAGAGACCCCAGAGCAGCTCCGGACACCTACCTAAGCAGTGCCGTTTCCTCCCCTGCTCCCTGCCAGGGTTGTGAAGGGCTCAGGAGGAGGTGAGTGGACGGTCTGAAGGATAAGCAGCACGAGGCAGCCACCAACCTCGACCAGCATCACATGGCAGAGCCTGGCTCTTCGGAGTCCAAGAAATTTGCTGACCGAGGCAGACGCACGCAACACCTACTCAGACACGCCCCCGAGGGGCAGGAGCCTTCTGAAGCTGGGTTGGGATGACGCAGGATGCTGGCAGCCGAGAGACCACGAGACCTAATGCCCAGAAAGTGTCCCCACGGTCCCAGAGCTCCGACTGCTGTGGCAGTGACCAAGGGCAGCCACGCCGAGCACAGGGACATCGGTCCACAGGGGTCACTGCCACCGAAGTCACAGGAGTCACAGGAGATGGGGGCTCGTGCTCCCTGGGGAGAACCTGGGTTCCCTCTAATGAGTCAGCTCCCCGTTCGAGGGCCACAGTCTCAGGCAGGAGAGGCAGGAGGGGCGTGCGACCTTGCGCTCAGTTTCCTCTTTTGTAAAACACGAATACTAGCTCCTGCCCCCAGACCATCCCCAGCTCTCAGTTAGTCTGTGGGATGATCCCCACGGTCAGGGCTCGGAAGGCCCACTGGCCCAGGACACTTTCTCATTGCTTTTCCTTTTTTTCCCAAAGAAGCTTCAACACGAGGACCTTGAATAAATCCAAGATTCCCGCCTCAACTGGCATTCAAGTGAGGCTTTTCTTCTGGTCACACCGACATCAAGGGGCTCCATCAACGAGCTCTTCTAATTTATCTCATCTGGTCCAAGGACTAGAAGTCACTTGCCCCATTTTACAGATGGGGAAAACTGAGGTTTGGAGAACCAATCATCCACGGACACACAGCCACCAGGTGGCAGAACTGCCACCCTACACCCGGGCTGTCTTGATCCCCAACGCCAGTGTTCTCTGGACTCCACTACCTTGCCCCTCTGGTTAATAGAGAAAACAGAGCCTAAACTTTGAAAAGAATCTCTCCAGGCCTTGCTTCAACAGGGGTCACTGGAGCCTCAGGGCAGGGGGCATCCTCACAAGGCAGGCTGTGGGCCAACCATGTCCCAGCTGGGGCCCTGCCAAGCACGTGGGTTTGGCGGCAACGGCAGCTTTAGAACAAAAAGCCCTTCCCTGTGCAGCCTCCAGAGCTCGGCGCCTTCAATGAAAGCCCAGGGCCTGCTGGGCAGCAGCCAAGGACTCCTTGTGAATGGGCTGCGTCGGGTAGGCACCTCTCCACCGCCAGGCACACCATCCCCGTGCTTCCAGGGAGGCCTCCCATGATGCTCCGGACAACCAGCGTCCTTCTGTCTCCCAGGCCGTCCTCTCACACTGGACGTCGCCCTCAGGTGAGAGTCTGTCTTGCCTACCAGACTCTAGACACACCACGGCAGGCACACAGCAGGCGCTCAGCCAATGCCGAGGGGGTGCCCAGTCACAAGACGGTCTTTCCTTTTCTCCTTTAGGGCAAGTTGGCCAAGAGCTTGAAACCCCAGAGCCCCAATTCTGACCACACCCAGCCCGCGCTCAGGTCACTGGTGCCCTTCTGCGTTCTCCCACCACCGTGCCGGGCAAACCTGTGGTGCCCACTATGGACGGGAGGCTGCCACATGGCCTTGCTCTGGGCAGCTGACCAGCCACGGAGGCCACAAGAGGGAAAGTGAGTCAGGCACTTGCTTCTCCACTGCTGGTGGCAGTCCCCTTTGCGGTGCCCTCCTGCGACAGTTTAAGGCACGTTTTCTGTGACCCAGCGGTTCTATCCTAAGACTCTCCTACCGTTACGTCTGCAGGTGTGGCCAACGAGAGGGTCCACCCCCAGCGATTCATCTCCACTCTGTCGGAGGGAGCAAATGATTGGAAACCATCCAGATGGCCGTGGGTCGGGGCCCAGCACGCACTGAGCAGGCTCCTGGTGGAATGTTGCGCAGCCCTTAAGACCTCGGGACTCTCCCTGTGTGCTGATACGGGGCGACGTCCCAGGGGCGAGATAAGTGAACAGAGAACAGTGCTGAGGCTGCCTCACTGTGCGGAAGGCGGGCACACGTGCTCAGATTCGCAGACTCTGGCAGGACACACAAGACAATGGTGCAGTCGCTGGCCCGGGGGCTGCAGGGGCGGGGGGGTGCGGGGACTCACTTGGCAGTGAATATGTCTTTTAAACTATTTGAATGTTTTCAACGTGCTCATATCAGCTTTATAAAAATTACTTTAAATTCTTAAAAATGCTTGCATGGGGCCATGCAGACATTCTAGGAATGGAGTGAACTTGTCTCATCAAACAGCAGTTGTCATAACAGAGCCCACTGTAGGCTCGGGGCCAGAGTAACCGACATCCTTTCCAAAGTCATCTCAGGGATAGCCGAGGAGGCCGGAGACTGTGTGAGTCCATCTGAACCCTTTCTTGAAGGGACCCAGTTTGAAGGCCCCTTCCCTGTCGGGCCCGCAGTCTCAGCCACAAGGCACAGACCAGGATCTGCTGACCCTTCTCCCTCTGGTGCATGGGGGTGCTCAGTACACTATAGAGTACTGTGCCCCAGAGGGACTGCCGTGGTGCACTGCCCCTCGCCCATGCCTCCTAACCTCGCCTGGAGGCGGCACAAGTTACCCCAAATCTGGCCACATCGCCCCAACATTGCCACCACCCCTGTCCAGGCCCCACTGCTCCCCAGGGCTGCTTCAGTGGCCTCCTCACTGGTCTCCCTGCCCCCCGCTCTCACCCCCAGTCTGTTCTGATTAAGAGAGAATCTGGCAATACCCAAGTCAGGTAACACCCCACTTCTGCTCCACAACCCCCTCATCGCTTGTATATTACAATTTTACTTGTATCATCTGTTTAATGTCTGTCTGTCCTACTAGAATGTCATCTCCATGGAGGCAGGACCTGTGACTCTCTTGACCACTGCTGGATTCAGAACAGTGCCTGGCACATAGTGAATGCTCAATAGACAATAGTTGGGTAAATTAATTATACCCATTTGGTTAATGGGGAAACTGAGGCTCAGAGAGGTTCAGGAATTCATCTGAAATTACCCAGATTTAAAAAAAAAAAATCAACCCTAGGCCTGGTTCCTTTTTCTGATCCCACCCTGGGGAGCAGCCACCCATGCACTGGGTACCACGCTACCCTTCGAGAGGGGCCCCAGCATCCCAGGCTTCCCTGCATCTCTCATACAGGGAGGAGGAGACCTAGAGGGGAGCTGCATTCTTGTCCAAGAATAGTAATGATTCATTCCAGGGTGGGATCCAAAAAAGAATCGCCTGGACGTCTGTTTTGAGTCGGCCGCCCCGCTGCCGTCCAGCCGGCACTCAGAGATGTAAATACGGCCTCCGAGTGGGCCAAATCGTTTCCTTTTGACTGCCGGCCAGCCATTTATTGGCGATGGCTCTTCCCTGGAGACTGGCGGAGGCAACAATTATAAAAGAGCCCATCCGCCCCAAGCATGGGGCCGCACAGGGCTCTCTCCGCCGTCTCTCCCTTCCGATAGCTGCAGGGGAAGATTGGCTGAGCAGGGCTTGTTTGCAAATATGACTCATTTCTTTGATTCTAATAAAGTCTAATGATATGTGCTGAGCTCCCAGGGGGCTCTGGAGGAACCCGGGAGGAAGGCATGGCTCCAGGATGATGGAGGGCATTTAGCCAGATCTGGCCCCACCCGTCTTCCAGGGCTGGGGGCGAAGCAGGACCCTGGGGACTGAGGTGACCTCAGAGCGGGGGCGAGCAGGATGAGGCTGACTGGGGGCAGAAGCTCTGCTTCCCCATCACAGAGCGATTCAGAGTTAAATTATAAAGCCAGTGTGAAATGACTGTCTCAGGGGCCCGGGCGGCTTTCAAGGGAGAGGGGCATCTCACCAGCTCCCGCTGAGGATGGCGCTTTAGTGCTGCAGACGGGGTAGGTGTGGGGATCCAGGCCAAGAGAAGACCCCACGCGTAACCTGACAGTGGGGTCACGCACACACGGCACAATGTTACCTGTGACCCTGGACTTGCCCTGGACTTACGGCTGGTGGGGACATAGACCCTGGAGGTGGCGTCCAGTACTGGAGATCAGGGCTGAGCTCTCTGCTATGTGTAGCTGCCTATGTAAGCTTGGGTAAGTCACCTAACCATTCTGGTCCTCAGCGTTCCACCTAATAAGCCACGCCCAGAGGCTCCATCGTCAGCATCTCGCTTGTTCTAGCTCTTTACCACTCAGCCAGGCTGTGAGGTGTTAGAACCGCGCTACCTCTGAGCTCTGGAGAGGTGGTGACTGCACTGAGGCCATGCAGCTGGGACCCCGGGCCAGAGTCACTGTCCCTGCTCTAGGAGACAGGAGCATGGCCCGTGGCTCTCCAGTAGCTCCTCTTGTAAAACCAGAGCGGGCAGAGGGGCTGGCAGGGATGATCGGCCAGGTCCTTTCCTGTCCAGAGCCAGGAGGAAGACTTAGCTCCGTGGTGTCTTGTTATCTGGAACCCCAGGTGGCTCCCGAGCACTGTCAGGCCTCTTTTGCCGAAAGAAGGGCCAGCTCAGGGACCCGCGTGTCTGGTGCAGATGAGAGAGGTGAAGCAAGTGATGGCCGGGGCTGGGCTTTGGCTCGAGGGGCCCGGAGACCAGCCTTGAGAGGATGCTTACTGCTCAGCAGCCCAGTGGGTACCAGCCAGCGACACCTCAGTCACTTCCCAGCAATTCTCTCTCGGTGGAGATCCCAGAGTTAGTCACTGCTGGGCTGGTGGCTATTTTCAGGGGAAGTCATATAAGCTAAGTGTCACCTTAAAGGGAACCCACATACTGATGGCTGAGCCCTCTGAGGCTCTGTATACAGTAGGCGCTTAATATATGTCCCAGCCTCTCTCACCAGTGTGTTCCTTGAGTAAGTCTAGAAGACACAAATTCAACCACATGACTCCCCTTCCCTTCTTAGCTTCCGTGGCTCCCCCTCTTAGGGAGCAAAGCCCAAATTTATCTGCCTGACATCCAAGCCTCCATCCTTCTACCTGGCCCCACGTGTCCCATCCTCCGGCCAAACCAATGACTCACTGCTGCTCCTGTGTTTTACGAACGCTGAGCCTCAGCATGGCTGTTCCTTCTGTCCAGGATGTCTTTCCCCCTCTCTTTTCCAGCCTAGTGACCTCCTACTCATCCCCCAAAGCCCAGCGCACATGGCCCCTCCATTTGCAGATGGGGAAATGAGGCCAGAGGGGTAGTGACGTGTTGCTCCAAGCCACAGAGCCAGGTGGATGCAAACATGGAATGAATAAGAATCAGCACTCAGTGAGCACTTACTCAGTGTTGAAACACTCACTTAATCCTCCCCGGCTGGGCAAGATGATGATCATGGAAAAAGCCACGAGAGGGTTCTAAGCTGAGAAATGACGTGTTTGGATTCACAGCTGACTGCAGAGATGCAAAGGGAAGGTGGAGAGAGCAATAAGAGGCCGTGCTGGGTCCGGGAGGGGGATGAGGGGGTCCTGTGGGGGAAGGGCGGCAGTGCAAGTGGGGAGGGTGGCTAGGCTCTGGATACGCTTTAAACGGAGAGCCAAGAGGACCGGCGAATTGGATGTGGGGTTTGAGGCAGAAAGGAGTTTGGGATGATTCTTAGATATGTTCCCTACTTAAAGGGCCTCTGCAAAGATGGGACGAAATGACAGGGGCAAGTCCCTGGGACGATGCTCACGGGAGTCAGTTATTCCACACAAGTTCTCGTTCCTTCCCCCTCTTTCATGCCCAAGAGAAGGGAAGGCCCTTGAAGGCAGGTGGCCTCAGCCTCTCCGCTCTCACAGGTGGCAGGCAGGTCCTCTCCTCTCCTCTGTGGACCCCAGTCCTCCCTAGGGTTCTAAAAAGAGGGAAGGTTATGCGTGAATGTTCAGGTGGGCTCACAGAGCCCTGCCGGGGCCCAGGGGAGAGTGTGAAGGCTAGAGCGGGAGGGGAGGCCAGGCGGGCGGCCGACATTCTCTGGACTGGGCAAGTCTATGTGGACCATGTGAGGACTGGGAAGGTGCCTGCAGGACCTCGACGTTTCCAAAGATAAATCCTGTCAATGTCTTCTGGCTCAGGAAAGGGAGCTCGGGCACTCAGAACGGGGGTTCTGCAAGGCAGGAGGCCTAGAACCCCCCAGGAGGGCCCAGGCTGGGGGATAGGCAGGAGAGGAGGCACGGGTAAGGACCTCCCGGCTCACGTGAGCTCCTTCCCAAGAGCCCTCGAGCCTGAGATACAGGGCACAGCCCCTTTGTAATAGCGGGACCATACGGACACCTGAGAATGGGCCATTCTCAGTCCCTCTTAAGTTGAGTTTCAAATGTCCCCAGGGGGCAGTTTTATCCACAATGAGGACACTAAATTAGTAGTAATGGCCCACATTTATCAAGCAGGCTCTCAGGGCTGGCCATACACGAACTTGTTCCATTAGGGCGGCCCTACCACCCTAGGAGGGCAGGGTTATGATCTCCCCAAGTATAGCTGAGGACCCTGAGGCCCAGAGAGGAAAAGGCACCTGCCTGAGTTAGAAGTGGCAGAACAAGGGTTTCAACCCAGGTAGCCAAACCATGCCTGAGGCAACGAGGCCCCGGTGGGCACCTGAGTAGCTGGGTGAGTGCCAGGGCCCTAGGTGGTCAGGCTGTGCCAGGCATGGCAGAGAACGGACAGGGCTGTGGTCTCGGGCCCCATTCAAGCGAGAAGAATGAGGTGCCTGCATTTCTTTGTCCAGAGGGTGGGGAGCAAGGGTGCGGGGGGAATGTGTCTGTAATGGTTTTTGTCTGCAAGTGGGAAATATGTCCATAGAAAAGAGCCCCAGGAGTTCCAGGAGCCCGGGTACCTGTGAGCACATACTGAAGGCCCGCGTGTCAGGAGACGGATGTGGACCACCCGGGGGAGGCCAACTGGCCCTTTCTGGCCTAAGATTCCCCAGCCCTGGTCCTAACGCTTGGCTGGGACCAGCCAGCAGTGAACTCCCTCTTCTGTGGGCCTGCTCCTGGGCCAGGATCTAAGAGGGGGAGAGACACCTTGAAGCAGCAAATCCACACACAAAAGAGAGGGAGTCTCATCTTGTGATCATGAGGGGCCACCCCCTTCCTTAACACCGTCCCCTGCCCCTGGCTCTCAACCCCACGCAAGGCCTCATCTGTTATTTCCAGGATCGAAGGGACTACTAAGCACTCAATTTAATAGCTCATGGAGAGCAGGAAAAGCAATGCACTAATACATTTTTGATTCATCTCCAAGCACTGTGTTAGAAGGACTTCCCGGTATGTCAGCTAAGAGCTACCCAAACTTCAGGCCTCCATGTTTTCTGCCTTTCTGATGTCTGGTCTGTGTGTATACATCTGCAGTTACTGACTATATTGTGGAAAACTGCAAAAATGCCCATAATTCTCCATTCCTCTCATAAAGAGACAGAGCCTATTTCCCCACCTCTTGAGTCTGAGTTAGTCTTGTGGTTGTTTTTGGCCAAGGGGACATTAACAACAATGGTGCAAACAGAGGCTTGAAAAGTGCTCCCGCACTGGGGCTTCCCCATCTGTTGTTTTTGGAATGCTGAGCCACCTAGGAACAAGCCCAGGCTAGCCTGCAGGGTAATGAGACCATAGGGACCAGTTGCCTGTGGCACCCCAGCCAATAGCCAGCCAATTTCCAGAAGAGCTACCCTGATGCCCTACAGCTGACCTACTAGTGAGGGAGCCCAGCAAAGACCAGAAGAACTGCCCAGCCAAGCTCAGCCCAAACTGCCAAACGGCAGAACCATGAGCCAAATGAAATAAATGGCTGTTTGAATTTGGGGATGGGTGTTACCCAGCAAATGCTAACTGAACATATTTTTCGCTCTAGCTATGCACCTCTTGACTTGAGTAACTACTTAAGCTTCATATATGCATTTTTCTCTGTGCAAAAACAGGTTTCATGTGCTAACTATATTTTTTCTAAAATACATTAAGAAAACGATATCATTTTCAGACAACATAAGAACATATACCTGCCTTTGGGAAACAGTCCTCACAGAGGTCCCATGGGTGTAGGAACGATTCATTCCCCTCATCTGACAGTTAAAGAAACTGAGGCTCAGAAAGGGGCAGTGACTTGCTGGAGGTCAAACAGCCAGTAAAATGGCAGAACTGAGGTTCGATTCCAGGCCTGTCTGAGACCAAAGGCATGGATTTATCTCGAGATCTGTACCCCTCCTTCCACCCACCCCACCCCAAGAGAGTGGCTCCCATATCCCTGGGGAGAAGACGAGAGAGTGGGCTGTCCACTGCCTCCTCCCCTGCCCCCTCCGTCCTCCACGAGGCCAGCCTTACTCCCAGAACTCGGTGACGGGGGAGGTGAAGTTGGTGGTGCTGAGGGAGATCCACAGGCTCTTGTTCCTGCGCAAGGTGTCTTCCAAGCACTGGGGCGTGTTCCAGCTGTGGTTGCAGTTTGCCCAGGGGAGCTCCGACTGGAAGGACTGGAACAGGTAGTACGTGGCCCAGGCCAGGATGATAACGTAGTATATGTTCAGGAGGGACACAATCACAATGGAGGCATAGCCGATGCCTGCAAGGGTGGGTAAGCGAGACGAGCATCAGCGGGAGGCCAGACCCACCGCAGCCACACCCTCAACCAGAAAACCCTGGAGTCTGCAGGCCTGGGGCCAGAAGGGGCCCTTCGACAGTGACCAGCAAATATCTGTAGGATGAATGGATGACTGGATGGATGGAGAGGTGAAGGAATGGGTGCCTAGATAAATCAGGTAGTTGGATGAATCGAAAGATGTATGAAAGAGGGATAGATGGATTGATGGCTGGCTGGCTGGCTGGATGGATGGTTAGATGGACTCACAGATGAATGGATGGATGTTGGAATGATGGATATTCACTTTGTTGGATGGATGTATGGATGGTGGTTGAAGGGAAGGTTAGGTAGATGAACGGACGGATGAACGAGCGGATGGGTAGATGGAGGATGGTTGGATGGATAGGTGGATTGCCCAACTATTGACTAGTTTAATGAAAGAAAGGTTTAATGGATAGATGGATGGGTAGATTTACATGGATGACTGAGTGAACAGACTCACACATTCTCCCACCCCTGCCAATTATAATCATGACAGTATTATCTTATGAGGGCATACTAGGAACTAGGCACAGGACTAAATGTCATAATAATAATGATAAAAGCTACCACTGGTTTGGGGCTTACTATGTGTACAAAGCACTTTTACATGGCTATGTCGTTTTGTCTTCATAGCAATCCTTGAAGTAAGCATATTATTTCCATGTTACAGTTGTGGAAACTGAGGCACAAAGAGATTAAGTGACTTTCCCAAAGTCACAAGAACTAGCAAAACGAGGAGTTGGGACGTGAAGCCACAGACAGAACGGTTCCCGAGAGGCTTCTTTTCTACACTCTGCTGCTTAGAAGCTACTGGCTCCCTTATCCTTTAACAACCCAGAGAGGCGGGAACAGCTGTGTGCAACGAGCAGCAGCATCACGTGTACAAGGTGCTGGCGTGACCTGCGTCAGGCACGGTGCCACGCGGCCTGCACGAGGCTCCAATGTACCTGGCAAACAGTAGGTGCTCAATAAAAATGTGCTGAACC